AATGAGGATGAATATCCAAAACCTAGCATTCGTTATAGAGGAAAATATGGCGAATGCTTTAATAGTTGAAGTACGTGAGATCACTGAAGGACTGATTTGTCTTACTTCATCTGCCTCTTTGTCCTTTTGGTAGAGAGGGAATGGCTTATGGATGCTTTATTTCTGTTTTTCCACGTTTTTCTGTTGTCTCCTTTGTTTTGAAAACCTGTATTGTTCTGTGAATGTTGATTGCCAGAAATGTCAGCTGAAGAAATTGTTTCAGTTGATGGAAGTATTACAATAGGTGTGGGGTAAATACTGATAAAAGTGGTAATTCAGGCTGTGATGTAGAATTAGATGTTCTTTCAAAGTAACAGTAATGTTAATCATCAGTTTATGTCGGTTTTATTTGCTAGGCAACAGCTTAACAGTGATAGCCAGGAAACCTAAACCTTATATATGGAAAACGGGAAAGCTGGACAGTAGGTAGAAAAATAATCACACCCTTTTGTTGCTCCATACTATGATTTGCATTAGCAGAATGAGTCTGTATTAGCTTTGGGCTCTTCAGATCAATTTCTTCTATAAACAGTATATACAATGTGCTGATTTACTTGCACCATACCATAGCTTTCCTTTCCTTAAGTAAACAATGCATATATTCCATGTCATAGGAGGCATCTCATGTTTCATACAGGAAAACTATCTTTATATACTTAAATTTTCTAACTCAGCTAACTTTCTAACAGTTACACTGGGTGAGTAAGTTATCAGGACTGATATAAGATGATCAGATATCTTTTTACTCTTCTGTCTTAACATAAAAAAAACCCTTATTTTATTGCTATCAAAACCTTTCATTTATAAAAAGAGGATTGGAAGCTTCAGTATAGAATAGTAGGATAACTGTCACAAAGTACATTTATGAAGATGTGGATTCTGTGGCAGTGTACAAATAAATTTCCTATTTATTTAGCTACTTCCCAAGCTTTCTCTGAGTCCTACTAAGCAAAACCCAAAAACAACAGCAAAAAAGCATCTTAAAATCAGCTAGAGAAAACATTGATGCAAAGCAACTTTGCTTGCTATGTCTCAAGCATACTGCTTTCTCCTGTGGATTTAAGATCCCAGAGGAATTTGTTTTGAAATAGACCAAGTATTTCTGCCTGGTCCTCCCTCATATAAATAATTCTGGTAGGTTGGAGTGCTGTTTTGGGAGAATTACAGAGGCTGTATCAAAAAGAATAGAAAAATAATGAACCTTTTCCCGTGCTTGCTACATGGATTGTGGCCACTGTGGTAAGGCTTAAAATGATTCATGCACGCACGGAGAGAATACAGGCTCAGTCCCATTGGCTGGCCCAGTTAGTCCTAAGACATATCAGAGATGTCAAGAAAGCTGTGTTTTATTAAGAAGATAATAAGAAAACTGATGAAGCCTAGAGATTAAAAAAAAAAGTGTACTTACACTAATGGGTTGTGGCCAGAAGAATATTGGCAGAAACACCAGCATAAAACTGTATTAGTAATGCTAGCAAAGCTCAGAATTAGTTTTTAACACTGGCAGTAGTTTTATGGGGGGAATGAAAAAGGAAAAATTACAGTTATTTTGGCATGGTCTCAGACTTCCTGGTTTTAGAATCCAGTAGTATTCCCCAAGTTCTATTTTTGTTATTCTACAAGTATTTAAGATACTTGTAGAAATCAGTGAAGTATCTCTTAAATTTGGGAGATATGATTTGCTAAAAAGAGTCGAATGTGTGTTTGTAAGATTTCTGGCAAATAATATTGAAATAATTACAAGTAGTCTTATTCCCAGAAGGCTGTGGAAAATGTTGAATGCCGATGTAAAAAGTGTATTGAGACTGAAAAGCCGTCTTCACCATCTAGATTTTGTTTGTGGAACATTGCATCTGCACTAGGAGTTACATTTTAATGACCAATTTCAATTTGGTGGTATTTACAGACTCCTTCAGTTTTGTCTGTTGTTTGGGGGTTTTTGTTTTGTTAACAATTACTGGTGTTCCAAAAGAGAGAACTCTTAAGAAGGTACAATTTTCTCAGGGGGAACAAGCTTGACTTTTTTTTCTTTTCTTTTTGTCCCCACCCCCAAAATGTAAACTTTTGGGTAAAGTGAAAGGATTTGTAAAGACTGAGAAGTACTCAATAGCATTTGTAGTTGCATGGACTGGATTAATGATGAGTCCTTAGTTTTTGGTTTTGTTTTCTTTTTTGCCATGTTTGTGTGCTAATATCAAAAGTTAAGTTCCAAATTTGCTATTTATATTAATGGAAGGAAAATAACTCCAGGAATTAGCAATAGCAACACCACACATTGTACATTGTTGATTCTTCTGCTGCATTCAATTTATGCATCTCTGTCTCAAAAGGTTTCACTAGAATTACTTTTGATTTGTATCGGGGCAAATGGAGAGAAAAATTAAGCCAACAGGTGAGTTCCTGTATTTTCGTCTTTGTCTCTGCCACCAGAAATTGAAAGTCAGCAAAAGATGTTTCCTTGCAAAGACTCCGGGTGAAAGAAAAATTGTTGTCTACAGGAAAGTATAGTACCTCTGGGAACAAGAAGGCATATCTGAAGATTAATAAAGATTTGAAATCTATATGAAGGGGTATTACTTTTTTAAGAGAAGCAGCACTGATACGAAGATCAGTATATTGGTAGGGTGCAAGTGGTCATTGAGTCTGTCCAAGAAAACCCACAGGAAGCAGAAGTACTGAAGAAATGTTTGTTTTTAAAAAAGTGAATCAGTTTTTTGATGGATGCAGCTTCTTGGCATATATCATAGTTTATTTTGTGAGTTTTGTCAGACAGTGCAAAGTCATATTAATTGTATGGCAGAACATACAGAACTGATAAACCAATGCAAGATCTAGGACAAGTATGTAGTATTAAGTAGAGGTAAGTAACTGAATAAAGCAATTACCTTTTAAGATCTTGTCATCTACCAAGGTAGAATACTTGAGCACCTGTTACAGAATGTTTAGGGAACTGTTGGAGAAATACTTAAGTTATGACAGATTTAAAATGAAAGCTTTTGGATAATAAGTTAGTCTTTTGGTTCTGTTAGCATTTTGATATCACTTAGCTGTAATTTCAGAGTTCAGGACAAAAACAAATGCCTGAATATATTATTTTATCAGTTTGTCACAAGCTGTGGGAAAATATTCAGGGCATCATTCTTTTGGAAGTGCTAAGGGCGAAAGAATACAGAACTAAGCTTGATAAGACAGAAGATAATTAAAAAATTACCCTGTTTCACAAGGAATATTGGGCTTGTGTTTACTTAGTAGAGTACCATTTCTTGTTATTTGCTGTGAGAAGGTAGTGACTCTTACTGATTTGTCAGACATTTTGGGTATGCATGGACATGATCAGGAAGAAGGTATGCTTTGTTAGGACTTTGGAGATTTGGGCTCTGATAATGGAGAACATACGTTCTACTCACCCCTAAAGACACATATTTTTCATGCTGAACTTGGAGAGGTTTATTTCTTCTTGAGTAAACAACTATTGCAGCATAATACTTTAAGTAATGAGCGGTAGCATCATTCTCCTAGATTGTCAAAAAAAGTGGTGAGGATTGTATGTGTGTAAAGAGAGGATGAATTTCTTAGAAAATAACAGTCCTTTCAATGTATTTTTACCTAAGTTAAAATAGAAAAGAGGTTTGTGTCATCACCTCAAAGACTGAATATGAGACTTCAGTCCCTCAAATTTATTTCCTTGACTAAGTTTTCATCTGCTGTCTTCTCTGCAGGTGTATGTATGTTTGCATAGGTATGCATTTCTAGACAGATACATACGCTCATGTATTTGTTACCAAATTTTGTACATAGTACTGCCAGGACAAATTGGAAATAATTTTGCTGTATTTCTTTGGTAGTTCTGTCTCCACAGGCTTTACCAATATTGTAAGTATTTAGAAGGTGTTGGATTTCTTAGAGATTATTTCCTTTTAGCACCCCCTAATTTTAGATGTTACTTTTCAAGAAGCTCCATATTTATAGTGCAGATTGAAACTAGAGACAATTTCTAATAATCCTGCTTTTCTTCTTCAGTGGTAACTTTGGTTACACTTCTGATAATGTTACGATCTTATTATCAGTTTCTCTGAAAAGCGAATTCCTTCTCTCCTTCCCATTCTGTTATCTGCCATAAGGTTCTAAATCTGTCATGCTGGTTAACTAGTCATCATTTAAAAAGCATGTTTTATATACTCTTAAGATTGTACCTGAAAAATTAAAAATTAAAGCTTTCTTCAAAATTATCCTAATTAGATAGAAATTTTAATGTGAAATATTTAATGGAATATTATTGGATTGGGGTAAGCATAGGGTGAAATAAGGACCCATATTTTATTTAAAACCAAAGTTTATTACTTCATTTTCTGTCATAATACTATATTTAACACTGTTTGTCTTTGAACACACTTTATCATCTTTCATTTGTAATTTACTCAGTACTCTTATTTATTCTCATTCATTCACCATTGTCTTTAAGGTCTTCCCCAGTAAATCAACAATAATGTTTTCTTCCTACATCATCACTAAGTTCATTCACATGGATACAGATTTTATTAAAATACCCACCTTTGAATATTTCTTAAGTTTACTGTCTTTTCCATTTATATGTTGTTCAAGTGTCCCAGGTTCCATCACTAATAAGTGGTTTCACTGATAGAATGGATATTAGGTATTTTGTTTAACAATGTCTTTTAGCATGAAAAGTAAATATATGCTGATGCATGTTGAGATCTATATACTTTACATAAAAAAAGTAAGGGTTTTCCCTGTTTTAGCTTATTTCAGGAACTGAGGTTGTCTTTTTTTTCCATCTTCCCATCCTTCTATGTGGTACTTGTTTTTTCAAATTGGATATACATGTTGGTGCTATGGCCAGTATGAAAAATTGGTCCTGTTAATCCCATTCACTGTATATGAGCTATCTGCAAACATAAAAAAACAAAATAAATTTTACTGTTTTGTTTGTTTTGAATTAGGCTCATGCACAGTTAGTTCGAGAAGTCGATGTAGAGAAGGTGTCAACTTTTGAGAATCCTTATGTAGATGCAATAAGAAGCTTATGGAGTGACCCTGGAATTCAGGAGTGTTATGATAGACGACGGGAGTATCAGTTGTCAGATTCAACTAAATAGTAAGTACATGGTGGCTACAAAAAACTATGTATCATTCTCTCTTTCTAATGAAGTGATTTTTACCTTTTAGGTTCTTATACTGTACATCCGTTTACATATTTGTATGCGTATGCAGCACAAACCTAACTGAATATACACTTACTAAATTGTTTTTAGAGAACATTTTCAGGGGAGGAGTACATCTAGTTCAGGATTATGTCCATGTTTTTTTTGCAGGGTGTCAGTCTGTGATTATCTGAAGATTCTTAACTAGGGATGGTTAGTTACTGTTGGTTTTGTTTTCTTTTGTTACACCTGTTCAAGCCCTTACTGTCCTTTGACATACACTCACAAATGCAAGCTAGAAATCAGAGGTCTGGGATGACATTTATGTGCAGAGTAGTTTGAGAGTTCTGGCCTAGCACAAGACTTTATATGTGATTTAGTCAAGGTGAACTCATTTGTCTCTTGCTGATGCAATTTAGTCAGCTGAAAAACAACAGATGCGTGATGTACATCTTCTTTGATTTGCTCCAGTGCTGTCACCACACCATTTTCTTCTGCCACATTTGCCCTATGCATAGGTTCCTGTTATCCTATGCAGTTTGCTGTCCAGTGAGCTTGTTAGCTTCCTAGCCTATCACTTTTATCATTTCTGTATGCATGCTTTGGTGCAGAGTAGTGCAAAGCACAGTGGGATCTCTCTTAACTGGATTCTCACTTTCCCCATAAAGGTATCATACTGTGTTTTGTTCTTTAGTGTTAAGAAAACAAATAGAATATTACATAAAGTGAAAAACTGTAGGGTGCATAAAAGGTGAAAAGAAAATTTAAGAAACAAGTTACTGACAATGTACATTCATACTGTTTCCATACTGAAATGAGTAGCAAGCATAAGTGGAAGGTGAAACAAAGCTTGTCTTACACTTTGGATTTCTTAGATTTGTAGGTGCTAACTTTGTTTCCACAAAAGATGTGATGCTGTTTTTAAAGTTGAAATACACATAGGTATTCTGTGTGTGTTAGAGGATAAAAATATTTCCTACTCTCCAAAGTAGGAAATAGTCATCTAATGCTACTTCAGATGAAATTGTGCTGAATACCATAGTTTTGACCTAGTTCGGATGAAATTGTCATCATGTGTATCTTTTGTATTAAAAATAGTAGGAAATCACTAAGCTGTAGAAGCAAACTGCCAGTCATTGACTTGCAGAAGGCATATACTAGTTAATTCGTTACTTTTCAAGCTCAGCTTGTTTGGCAGTTTCACATGAGTTTTTGCAGATTTGGTAACTTTAATCTGTTATAGTTCATAATATGGATTTCTGCAAAACCTGTTTTAAATGAGAATTGTGAATCATTGTATATAAGGCTTTAGAAAGGCCTCCCTTATATTTGTGCTTGCAGATAGGGTTGTTTTTTCCCATAAAAGCAATTAGCAAAAACTAAAGGAATGTTGTTCCAAAAATACGGTATGTATGTTTAGCAAGAAAACACCCAAACAGAATTTTCTATCTGTAATTCCTGTCCCAAAGCAAGAAAACAAAATGCTTAAAAGTTACTACTGAGATTCATAAGGCAGTAAGCTAGAATAAACTCCCTGGTGCCCACTGATGTTGGTGAGTCTTGATAATTTCTCCTGACCTGATGGATAAACCAAAATCGTCTGTTGTCCACCAGATCTCTTGTAAGCACATGTGTCAATATACTTTGTGAGAATGTGTCAGTATTTTTAAACATGTGTCAATATCACACATGTTATTCATACATCCTTTGCATGAGACTCTCATCTTCCCAGCAGTTTTTTCTGTGTTTTTATAGTAGTAGCATTTTCAGTCTGTTCCCTATATTGCTTGCTTTTTTTTTTTTTTTTGGCCCATTGTCTTCCTAAATCTTTTCCTCTATATTTTATGGGGTTCTTTTTTATAGTTTCTAAAGTGTTTTTTAATATACCCTGTATGTTTCTGTACTTTCTGTCATCTGTTGACCTGCTTTGTCACTGTTAGCTGTGCTTTTGATGTTTTTACACCCACTGCTAGTACCCTGAAAGAATACATCAGATGTGTGTTTGTCACAAGATGTGAGGGCAGGGTCTAAGAAAGAAAACTTCCTACAGCCTAGAGGTTGATTTGAACCACTTAGCGGCTCAGCAAATGGATTTCATTCTCTTACCTTGCAACTGAATGCTCCAAAGTTCAGATGTTAATGTTGTTCTTAAAAGCAGTTTCTGGATTTCTATGTGGTAAAGTCAAGAGCACATCAGGTAAGCAGAGATTATTCATTTCCCATATAAATTACGGGATGACTAAGCCACCTACTTACCACTAAACCACTTCTCTCTTAGATACTATTCACTGTGTGAGACAGCTATAAACCAACACCACGCTGCTGATTGCCTTAAGTAATAGCTGTGTGAGATGAAATCATTCAGTATGTACTCTACGGGGTGTCAGGACCTTAACCCAAATGTAAACAGGTTACCAGTCAACAGTCTGATTATGTCATGGCTTTTCAAAGTCTGAAGAAGGGGGAGTCAACAGTCTTACTGTTGTCATAAGTAAGAGTTCGCATTTATGTCTTCAGAATATCACTGATTTTTTACATGAAAGACAGAGATGAATCCTGACGATGTCTGCTCATCAAAGTTCATGTTCCACCTTTCATGAAACCATTGCATGAATTGTAAAGCTTTGGTTGTCAAATAATTTTATATAATGATACGCAGAGTTTGAAAGTTTTTTGTAACTTCAGCTGAACAATTAATTCCTTCATACCTAAAAAAAAGATAGCATTTTGCTTCCATGTTCCACTTCTGAAACAGGTGCATTTCAGTGGAATTACTGTGTGCTGAATAGGATGTGCTTAGTGGCACGAAAGGGGAAGAATCCCTGTATGAATTTTTTTAAGTTTTATACTATAGCAGTGTACTCCATTTGGTGGTACTGCCTCTAGTGGTCAGAACATTTATTCTTTCACTTTGTAAAGCTGTAGGGAATTCTTACGATATCATGGGTCTCTGTGAGCCTTTCTGGAGGATTAATACTGTTCTAAATTGGGACCTGTTCTGTGGCTGACACTGGTACAGTAAATCATGAACAACTGCCTATATAATATCTGTGTAATAGTCATCTGTTGGGGACAAGAATAAATATACTCCAAGATACATAAGAACATCATTGTTTAATAAACATTTTAATACAGTTCATTGATTTATTTTTTTTTCTTCCCTTCATTTGTAAGAATGTACTTGCAGGTTCTAAAGCTGTATTTGGAGACGGTTTCTGTTGCAAGGTGGTAGATTCTGCTTTTATGTAGCTTTGCAGTAAGATAAAAACAGCAAATAAAAGTCTCAATGTTAAGATCGAGTACTAGCAGCAAAACCATGCTAACCCTATCTTATGCCTTAGATACAGTTCCCAAATATAAAATAAATGTCTGAAGAAAACAGGACAAGGTCTGCTGCATACAAAAGCTATGCATCTTATAGAAAAACTGAAGATTATGCAACACAACAAGGGAAATGCAGAAGGGGAAGTGGGGTTATATAAAGGAGTACACAGTATGTATTTCTTCCAGTTTTTTTTTTCATGCAGTACTGAACATATTTTTAATATTTCTATAATTCTTAAACCACATTTCCTATTAAGAAAAGATTGCACAAGCATTTTTTATTTGATTACTTACTTGTTTGTAGTGTTTGCTAAGGTTGGCTTTTAGCCATGTCGGAAATTGAGAGAGACAGCTAGGTAGGATTTGGGTAGGATAAAGATAAAAATAATACAGTGCAGACTCCTTCATACCTCACTGCAATGATCTTAGGTTTACTCTGTTTACATTAAAATTAGATAGTTCTAGAAACTGATAAACGTGCCTTGACTTTCCACCAATGGTGTACAGGCTCAGAAATGCAAACCTACAGAGAAGTTGTGAAAATGAATCATAGAATCATAGAATAGTTAGGGTTGGAAAGGACCTTAAGATCATCTAGTTCCAACCCTCCTGCCGTGGGCAGGGACACCTTACGCTAAATCATATCACCCAAGGCCTCGTCCAGCCTGGTCTTGAACACTGCCAGGGATGGAGCATTCACAACTTCCCTGGGCAACCCATTCCAGTGCTTCACCACCCTAACAGGAAAGAATTTCCTTCTTATATCCAATCTAAACTTCCCCTGTTTAAGTTTTAGCCCGTTACCCCTTGTCCTGTCACTTACAGTCTCTAATGAAGAGTCCCTCTCCAGCATCCCTATAGGCCCCCTTCAGATACTGGAAGGCTGCTATGAGGTCTCCATGCAGCCTTCTCTTCTCCAGGCTGAACAGTACTTTTATTTACTCTTAGTTTGGTTTACAGCTCGTGTTTGTACTTGGAAAATTGATTCAGTTTACTGTGCTGCTGCTGCGCGTTAGCAAAGAGGCCACTTGTGTCAGTTACTCTGGCAGTTCTGTGGGGTTGGAAAAATCCTACTACAGCAGCTGTAACATTTTGCAAATGTGGAGTTGAAAGACAATCAAATAGTATGCATTTTAAAAAAATGTAGAAAAAGGCTTTTCAAAGCTTGTTTTCTAGCATATGGCCAAATTTTGGGGTAGTCTCATCAGCCAGTTAAGAGTTTTGCAAAACAAACAAAAAACCTCCCCAAAACCACATCAACCCCCACAGCAGGATGGAGAGTAGCCCAAACCAATCCCAGAACAGCCAGGCTGCAAAGGACAGAGATATGCCAAATATTATTTGTTTGCATCATTAGCCTTAGTCATAGAATTTGGTTAGGATTTTATTTTCACTTTCACAGTCTATATGTGCATGAAAGCATTTTGTAGAGGGTTAGGGTTAGTTTTCTGTTTTGCATTAAACCTGCAACATTAGGGTTGAAAAGATGTAAATGTTTGTGGTTACTATAATACCTGGAAAAAGTCAGCCATGTGGTATCATTTGCATATTAAGTGTTACTGGTAAGCCTTGATTTTATAGCTGTGGTTACACTGAAATCTTTCAACAAGCAGTATGTTAAACAGCAAAC